CCCACACCCAAATCCCCCTCATTCACTCTCTTCCCCCCGCCAAGACCCCACATTCCCAGCTTGCTGACGGCACCCTTCTCCATATACAAGACTGTTACTAGGGGTTCCGCAAAATTCTTTCAAGTTTAAAAGGGTTCCATGGCCAAATAAAATTGGGAAACACTGATCTAAACAATGTAACAAAAACACACCCCAAGCACCACCAAACTCGCGCACTATTAGGATCGCGAATTACATGTGTGTGGAAGATAAGAGAACACGCAGCGCAATGCATGTTCTCCTTGTGTACAGTACATGGAACTATTCAGTGGTAGCAACTGAATAAACCTCTAAAGAAATGCTCAGCTTAACAGAAAACTGTACGAGACTCTCAAGCCACCCTGAAATCACAGACCAGACACAGTGAGGCAGACACACCACTACAGCCTGGGAAGTCTGCAGGGACAGACTGACACTCTCATTTCCTTTTGCACAGCACATTCCTCACCAACAGCATGCAAGTGAAGACACAGCTGTCAAGAGAGCAGCCATGCCACAAGTTTCTCTGTGCTGACCTCCCCAGCCCCTTGTCATGGAAGCAAAATCACCCAGACAGATCCCACCATCTAACAAGATGGATACCAAGTAGAACAAATGCATCATAGGTTCTTATCCATCCTGGACTCTGTACACACCAATCAAGTCAGCCTCTTTTCGTGAATGTTCCCAAAATTAAGGCAATTTCCCTCTCTTCATATCCACATTTCTACATCAACTGCTGGGAATGAACCACTTCCACTCTGACTTGATTAGCCTCATTTACACAAGTACCCTCTTTCTTTGTTGTGTGTGTACACACACACACACACACACACACACACACACACTCACAAAAGCTATTCCCTAAAAAAATCTCCTAGTTTGTAAGGTGCCACAGGACTCCTCATTGCTTTTGCAGACACAGACTAACCTAGCTACCTCTCTGACACTTTCCCCAAAATGATAATGAATCTCCATCACTAACACCACAAACTTCAGCAAGTGCTGAAGCAGAAAGTCATCCAATTCCCTCTATTCTCCAAAGAACCAGAATGTCTAACAGACCCCCCAACACACACATCCCCAAAGACTTCTTAGCTCTCTACCTGTCATCCAGCTAGTTTCATAAATCTCTGTCATTGAAGGTTTTTAAGAGAAGGTTAGACACACGCTTGTCAGGGATGAGCTAGATAATACTTTGTCCAGGGGACTGGACTAGATGGCCACTTCCAGTCCTACAGTTTATGATTCTGTCAAAGGGCAAATTGCTGGATACTGGTGCAGAAAAGAATGTGGTCTGGAGAATTCAAACCCTCAACATCATGGCCGGCGAGTTATATGGGCTCGTGGTGCCCATGCTCCAGGAATAATCAGAGCCAGGGGCCCTGCTCCACCAATATTTGGAGCTGGGTCTCTCCCCCGGCCCTGCCTGGAGCTAATAGCACCCCTGCCCTCCCCAACCCCGCTTGCTGCGACGGGCACCAGTACCGGAGCGGGGCCTTGCTGTGGTTCCAGCAGTCACTGGTACAAACCTC